GAACTGAGACTTAATCCTCAAATGTGTTTATTTTACTTGTCCTAATGTTCTACAAATATAAAACTGTAAGTAATAAATTGTTATTTTCCCACTGTAGGAATCTCTAATGTGAAAATGTATTCTATGAAATAAAGTTTTTTTAAAAATAAAATGCTATATAATAAAAATGTATTGTAGTCTTTTATGTATTAACTGTCCATAGTTTTATTCAGTAGTACTTGGTGTCTTTTGCATATATAGCACTAAAATAGGACTATTTAAGTTTCCTTCTAGGGCTTAGCAGTGACGTAAATTACAAAGTACCGTGATACAAAAAAGACTCATGTAAGAGACAGAAATACATTGAGTATGAGTGGTTTGGTATAAGTAGAGTGTTAAATACATTTGACCTTCAAACAGCAGTTGCACAGGTCCAGTTAATATGTGGATTTTTTCAATGTATACAGTATAGTACTGTAAATGTATTTCTTCTTTGGGGTTTTTATATTTTTTTTCTAGCTTTATTGTAAATACAGCATATAAATCTTATAAAAAATACATGCTAATTAACTGTCTAGGTTATCAGTAAAACTTTTGGTCACTGGTAGGCTGTTAGTAGTTCAGTTTTTGGGGAGTCACACAGATTTCTGACTGTGTAAGGTGTCAGTGTCCCTAACCCTCTTGTCACTTAAGGGTCAACTGCAGTAGGATTTAGAATGATGTTCCAGATCATGATGTTCTGTAAATGCCAACCTTCGGTGTTTAAATTATATTCTGTATGCAGTTAGTTTGGTCTGAAGGGTGAGTGTAAGGCATGATGGTTTGTTTCTCGTAGCAACATAGTAGAGCTGGCACTGGGCGCATTTCCCTGAGGACCTTACTGCGCAGCTGAGGCAAGCTTTGGAAGCGCGGCTGGCTAGAAGGGTAAGTGTGTTCACGAATGTCTGTACTAGGGGTTATAGGTAAGCTCCCCTTAATGTGCTTACAGCCTTGTCAGAGACTCAGATGTATATTAAGGGTTTAGGAAGAGGAGATTAATTCTCTTTTGGGGGTCGCTTAAATGTTTGCAAGGGCACGATGCCTGAATACCAGTGGTTCACCAGGGACTGTTGGTGGAGGACCTATCTGCCTTGGCAGGGAGAAATAAAATATTAGTAATAATATTATTAATGAAATAGTAATAAAGCTTACATTGTTTGGAATTGGTGTTCTTGGGGCACCTGGGTGGCTCAGTCGGCTAAGCATCTGACTTTGGCTCAGGTCGTGATCTCACAGTTTGTGCATTTGAGCCCTGCATCGGGTTCTCTGCTGTCAGCGCAGAGCCCGCTTTGGATCCTCTGTCCCTGTCTCTCTCTGCCCTGCCCCATTCTTACGTGAGCTTTCTCTTTCTCAAAAATAAATAAACATTTAAAAAAAAAAATTGCTGGTTCATGATGATCATAAAAAAGACTGACCTTTATTCGGTTTTATTGTTGGCCTTAAGTTCTCTGTAGACAATAATTCCCCCTTCGTGTCATTCCTATCTTCCCCCTCCCCTAGCCCCCGGAACACCAGTGCTGTAAAATAGAGTTTTCCATATAGTTGAAATGGGGAGGGCCGGAATTGGAGAATATCACCAACACCATCACACCACAGTTTCGGTCTGGAGAGGTGTCTAATGCTAATAAGCTTCATTAGATGGTGAGTGAGAAGTCAGAGGGTTAGGCTGGTGGGGTACTGCCTGCCCTAAGGTCCCAGCTGAGCTGTCGCTGTGGCAGATCCTTGGGTTGCTATGAGCTGCTGGCGCAGCAGGTGAAAATGAGGCAGGGCCTGTTGCAGTAGGTTTCTGAGGGTAAGTAGGACCTGGTCACAACTGTGTTTCAGAGAGAACTGGGGTGACGTGAGGAAGGCTGACAAACTAGATGCAGAAGGACGTGTATGAGGATAGAGGAAGAAAGGGCCTGAACTCTGATGGCGGCAGCGGGACATAGGAGTCAGTTGTAAAGGTATTGTAGAAATGAAATACATTTATCTGACAGGTATTAAGTACCTCATGTGATGTGTACCATGGATAAAGAGGTGAGTCCTCTGACTTTAAAAGGAGTTCATAGTCTAATCCAGACAACAGATAAGTGATGGCAGTACACTGTGGTAAGTGCAATAACAGTTAAGCACATCAAGCAGTGATATAACAAAGGGCACACTAAGAATTTGCTTGCAAGTTTCCTGGAAGATTCTTGACCTGGTTTCTGAAAGATAAAGAGCTGACAAGTAGCCACGGAAGCTGGGGTGAATTGTGAGGGCCTCTAGAGGGTAGACCAAGCAGAAGTGCACACAAGCTGGGGAGGGCCTAAGAGAGAGAGAGAGAGACAGGGAGGGAGGCAGAGGATCCGAAGTGGGCTCTGTGCAGACAACAGAGAGCCTGATGCGGGTCTCAAACTCATGAACCATGAGATCATGACCTGAGCTGAAGTTGGATGCTTAACCGACTGAGCCACCTAGGCGCCCCAGTCAGATATTTATTTTAAATAGGTTTTGCTGGCAGCTATGTGAAGTATGCATTTGAGGGAGGTAAGCATGGAAATGTTATGTTGTTTCAGTGATGCAGAAAAGAAATGATGAAAGTCAGTAGCCGGAATGAAGAAGAGAACACATTTAAAAGATATTTAGAAGTTAGAACCACTAAGTTCTACTGGGGTGTGGAAGATCAAGAGAAGAGGGAGGGTATGCTCAATTTCTTTGTTGAAAATAGGTGGATGGGAAGTGGTCATTAATTTCTGGAGGAGAATTAGATACGATAGTGGAGGGATAGGTCGCTCCCAAAGTTTTGGTATATCTAGGAAGACTTTATAGACCTCTTTTTTTTTTTTAATTTATTTTTTTTTGGTAATCCGTACGCTCAGTGTAGGGCTCGAATTCACGACCCCGAGATGAAGAGTCGAATACTTCTCCAACTTAGCCGGCCAGACACCCCAGAATTTATAGACCTCTATTTTTGGCAATATGACAGACTAAATCATAGAAATTATTTTGCTAATGCACCTAAGAATGTTAACAATAAGAACACCTTTTAAAACGTGATTCAGCTTGCCAAAGGAAATACTCTCAAGCCAGAACAAAGTCTGCATGCATTTAAAGAGGTGGGCTGAGGGCATGCTGTGCCCCGGGATCATTTAGTAATCTCAGGTGGCCTAGAGCTCTAGGTTTAAGAAGACAACCAAGAGGCCAGGAGCAAAGCTCTGGGCTCAAATTGGAGTTTGATTGGTGATTCCCTAAAACCAGGAACCATGAAGAGTTTCACCCTCAAAGTAAGGGTGAATTAGGAATATAATTTTTACCTCAAAAAGCAGCATAGAAACTTGTCTGACTTGCCTTGTTCTGATTGGAGGAAAACATATTTCTGAGAGTGTGTGGCCCACGGCCAGTCCTTAGGCCAGTTTGTGGCCTGAGTTTATATGATTTGCACCTTTGAAAAGACTATATGCTGCTAATATAACATTTACTTGGGTTGCTAGTTCCCCAGATGCCTGGTAGGAAGTAAACACATTTTCACTGGAGGAAGGTTTCTCCCAACACAAGCCTCAAAAATTCCCAGTAAGTTCTAATGAATGTGAACTTCCAGCTAAAGATCACAATATATACAGGAGACAGCCTGAACAAGAATCAGCACAGATAAAACAGAAACCTAGTCACAAAGAATTCAGACTCTGGCAAAATTTTTCAGACACAGAATATAAACAAAATGAGATGGAAGTCTGAGTACAAGTCACTTTGGAGAAAGTGGCCCTACACCTGATGTTTTTGATCCATATAATCTTGAAAAGTAGATGTCTACTTAGGAAAGTCCTCTGTACCTTTAGAGTCTTTATAGGTGGATGTCAGGGTTAGTCAGTGGGTCTGGATATCCTGGTGATGAGATCCTAAGCACTTTTACACTACAGTGGGAAACATGGATCCATGGCTGTGGGCCTTGAGCTTAAGACCTCTGTGTGAGGTTCAAAGTACCTGAAATGGTCACTTCCAGTGTGGTTCCAAGGCCGACTTTTATGGGTATCTCGTCTAATAAATCTGGTTTTCTAGCTGTATATCATGCCATTGGGGGGGGGGGCACAAAATGTCTGATGATCTGCCTTTCAGAAAAATAGCTTTTATGTTGGGTATACGGACTGCGTATATGAGATTCACTTTTTAAAAAAAGTAACAATTACAACATACCACAGATGGAATCTTTTAGAGGGTGAGTCAAGCCCAACCTCATGGGGTCTTTC